GGAGAAATGAAGGAGCAAGTAGAAATTTTATAGTTCTCCCTTTTTATCTGTAAATGTATTTTTTCAGTACAGCTGTTAAAGGTAGGTGAATAAAAGGTTGATTTTAGTGACTAGTCAGCAGGATTTAAAAAGTTATACTTTTGATTAAGAAATTTTGGGGACTGCTTCACCCTCTTTTCTGCTCTACCTCTCTCAACTTGTAACCTGTTTTCATCCCTTTCTCTCCTTGTTCCCCGTTCTTTTGTCAACACTCCAATTTTTAAAGTGGTTTCTTTGTAGAGTTTTCTTATTTTTTTTGTATTTGGGATCTTTGAACCACCACATGTCTTAGAGTTTACTGATGAAAATAAGCCCTGACTCATGTACCTTTCAGGCTTAAAGAAGACTAGGCAGGGCTTAAGAAGAAGCAGGAGGCAATGTAAATGACAAATACAGAGAACTTTTCCTTCTTTTTCTTTCTCTTCAATATTTTTTGGTTTCTACAGTTACGTATGTTTGGAGAGGAATTCTGAGTGTAAGCTTACCATTTTGGCAGAGATGAAGAAGGAGCTGCCTGTTGTTATTGGAGTGAGAAGGTAGCATTTATTAAACTTCACTAGAGCCCATGCATTAGAATTTTGGAAGATCTGGTGATTTTTTTCAAAGCTATGTACAGGCTACTACTCCTCAGTAGGCGGCTCAGAGAATATTTTGAGTATTAATAAGGTTATTCCATGAACTGCTTTGATTTTGTTGGCTGAAATGTATCTTATAAATTATTATTTTACTATTGAAGAATATATGTAAATTTATATTTTGTTTCTCTCTCTTCTCAGGATTTTGTAGAAATTCTCAGTTGGGTAGATTTTTAGGTATGGTGAAAATTGCTATAAATCATCAAAACTTTTCAAAGCAGCCTGGCACACATTGGCTATGTTCAATCAATGTTTAGCTCCATTTCTTTTCAAAGATATCACTGAACTGAGTTTGAAATCCCCTTCCTTTAGGGCTCTAGAATTGTTTCCAAAATACATTTGATCTTCTGAATTGCATGAGGTATACTTGATATAATATGAATGTTTGTGCCATCACCCCCAAATTCATATATTGAAATCTTAATCCCCAAGTTGATGGTAATAGGAGGTAAGTCTTTTGATCATGGGGGTGGAACCCTCCTAAATGGAGCTAATTCCCTTATAAAAGAGGCCCAAAAAAGGGGCCCCTTTGCCCCTTGCACTATGTGAAGACAAAGGAACAAGCCAGTAGTCTGCAACTGGGAACAGGGCCTCACCGGAACCCAATGATGTTTGACACCCTGATCTTAGAACTCCAGCTCCCAGAACTGTGAAAAATAAATCTCTATTTATAACCACCCAATCTATTATAATTTATTATAGCTGTTGTATTTGTTATACTAGTCAGTTAGTATAAACTAACACAGTACTTGTTAAAAATATGTATTCCTCACCTGTCATACCTGGAAATTGTAATCTGGGAGGTTTGAGGTGGAGCCTTGGAAACATTTTTAACAAGGCCCTCACGTGATTATTAAAATCAGCAACACTGCTTGAGAGCAATGGTCTCAACTCGGGCTACTTAGGCAGCTTAAAGAAAAAGTCCTCATCTCTGGGTCCCACCTTGAACCAACATAGTCAGAATGTCTGGTAGCAGGGCCCAGGCATCAGTATTTTTTTTAAAGAATCCTCAGGTAGCTTTAATGTGTATCTAGAATTGACAATCACTGCCCCCAGTACTCTGGTTAATATTAAAACAGCTTCTGGAAAAATACTGTGGGATAATAAATTTTTACCTCTGGTGTTTCCTTAAGATAAAAGCTATGAAACTTGAGTAAGTATTAAAATAGGAATATTTCAGTATGAGACAACCTATCATGCCAGGTCAATTTGAGTACCAGATATTCAAAATTCCTAGGTTGGAATAAGTCAGTCTCCAGACTTTCTCAATAACTTTACCGACTTTGGGCTTTTAATCATGTTCCAGTCACTCTTGTAACCCCTTAGCAACAGACTGTGATATGTAGATAGGATGCAAATTGTCAGGTGAAATAAGCGCAAAGAGATGCAGAAGCAAGATTTGAGATTAATTGTGGTAGAATTTAAAACCATGAACACACTGAATTATCCACCTTCTTTTATGCTTCCAGAAAAGAATCTGCACAGTGTATTCACTTAGATGATCTCCAGCGTGGTGATTCTTAATTGTGTACCTCATATTTTGAAATATGTTGGAAGAACCAGGTTCTGATTGAGATCATGGCACAAGGATGTTGGCGGATTATGATGCCTCTTGATTTCAGGGAGTTTAGCTTTAGTTTTTTCAATGAGGTGCGTAGTTGAGGAAAATCCAGTACCAGATGGTAATGTTGGCTTGGAGTGGTTTTCTCACCTACGTCTGGCAGCTTTTCTCGGAAGTGGTGTTTTCAGTGTCTGAGACTTCCAGTCTATGCTGCTTAACGTGATCACTCGGAAGCTTTAGGCGGTATAGATGCAATGACACATCTCATTAAAGGTCCCTTAACTATGAACATCTGACATCTGTGCTGCAAATAGGACTGAATGCAGACTTCAAGTGGTTGTAGATTCAAGTGGTATGTTATTTTTCAAAGGCACTAGTGAACTTCCTTATATTTACCAGGCTTGTAATTTCTAGAGGCAATTTTGACTTGGAGAAATAGAGTATGAATCAATAATCTGTCCATTTTAAGGATGACCTCCTTTCCCAGCATTTAGGCAATGGTTTTTGCTAGCAACAATAATAATAATGGCTATCATGATTTGAATACCTATAATGTGCTAGGATACTTTATGTATAAACGATACAATAGCACTCCAAGCTATTTCCATTTTGTGGATGAAGAATCGAGGACCCTAAAAGGTTAAGGAACTTGCCAAAGGCCATAGTCACCTAAGTGACCTAAGTGACAGTGTCACCTAAGTGACAGAGCCAGGACTCTGCCAGCCATCAGGCTGCTGGGTGGGGTGTCTTCCCATTTTGCTATCAAGTTTTGCAGTGTGTATAGGAATAGAATTAGCATTCATTTCTATAAACTGCAATAAACTAAGTGAATGTTCATAAAAGTTATCCTATAGTTTAGTATTCAAACTGAAAAATAAAGCTAAAACAACTAGATTCAGCCTACAAGGAGCTTACCATCCAAATACTCTTTTCTCACATTAAAGAATAACGCCCTGATTTTCTATATACATTTCTACATGCTTTAACTTTAAATTTTTTAAACACTATCAGAGATTTTAATGAAATTAGAAAATAAGTTTTAAAACCTAAATGTGTTCATCCTAAATTTGGCCTGGCTCCTCACAGCTGCAGAAATCCATTTTACCCCATTCCCCAACCCCCTTCCCAAAGCCCGAAAGCACAAACCCGTTGGGAGCCCCCTCTGTTTCCCAAAGGAAATATTTCATTCATATAATGTCTCCTTTGTAATCAACACTGAGAAATGTCACTTTGATTAAACACAACTCTGAATGACTAAGACCACAGTACAATAAATTCTCCAGAGCTATCTTTCAGAACAACTGATTGCTCTCCAGTCTTAATCCTCCAGAGTCTTATTTAATCAAAATGATGTTGCTAATTAAGGATTAAAACCTCCGAATAGAATAAAAAAGAAGGATTTTTCTTTCTCCTTTGGGCAGGTCAAGGAGGCAGAATTTGCTGTAAGGAAGTAAAGAGTCTCCACTTTTGGTAAAACTGCATTGTTCCCTGACATTAGGACTTAATCCAAAATAGGCCTGAGTGCTTTGTAATATTAATATAATTGGAGTAAAAAAAGAGAGAGAGGAAGAAAGAAAGCAAGCAAGAAAGAAAGCAAGAAAGAAAGAAAGCAAGAAAGAAAGAAAGCAAGAAAGAAAGAGAAAGAAAGAAAGCAGAAGAAAGAGAGAGAAAATAGAAATTGCCTGGGATAGCTCCATATACTAAGCCAATATGCATTCTGAAATGTTTTCATTTAGTGCTTTTAATATGAATTTTCTTTAAGCATTTTTGTCTGAGGCTGTCTGTGCATTGCTTTTGTCCATTGCAAACATTGATGGAAAGACAGAATATTTTAGAAAAATGTTGGCAACCCATTCCATAGAAAAGAGGGAACAAAGGACAGTGTATCTCACATATGTTTGCTATCCACTAATGAATAACAATATCAAAAAAGAAATTTTATATTAAATGCTGGCTGCTATCCCTTAAGATCTAAATTTTAGGTTTTTTTGAATTTGTATTTAGTACTAGAAATTGGTTCCTTAAAAACCACACAAACTGATAAATTGTCTAAGAACTCACTGGGAAGGATGAAGATTCCCAGAAAGGCAGTTTTGTTTTCATGGAATATAAACTCTTTCAGGTATTGGAGGTGAAGTGGGTGAGAAACAGAGGTGCTGGGTGATGTTTTAACATATTGTGAAATACTTCTTTCATCTTTGCCATCTTCTATTTGCATTGGACTGTAAATTTATATTAATAATTCCTGCCAAATTAGTCTATTACAATATAGATATAACTAATAATAATGATGGCTATTGCTTTTTGATCACTATTTGCCAAGTTCTTTGCCACCATATTACCTCTAATAATACATGAGAAGTAGTATTATGCCCTGTCAGAAATAAACTGAAGTGGAGAATAAAGGACTTGATCAAGGTCAGTTGGCTTGAGGGAGGCAGAGTTGAGACTTCTACCCAGGCATCATTGGTTGCAAAGCCATATCCTATTCAATATGACAAGCCACTTCTCATCTTTTTTACTGGGAGGATAAATTTATCACCTTGTCTCCGGAAGGTTCTGGTAAGCTGTATTAGTCTGCATTTGACTTCTAATATACCATGATTACTGATGGAATCATCATCACATCCTCACTCACCCAGCCCAATCAATGACAAAAACAGAACAACGACTATCAAAATGAGACCAGAAAGCAAACAGTGAGAAATTCCGAAATCGAGGGGAATGTCATAGACCCGGGTTCCCTCGGAACAAGTGCTACCTACCAGTTAAAAAAAGACGTTCGTTTCTTTGAGCTACACTCCCCAAGGCCGTAAGCACCCAGTGGACAAACGATGGCCCTTACTCCTCCTGTGCCAAGGCAGATAGTCAGCAGTGCTACATAAAACAGCCTGTTCTGTTCCTTTTTCGGTATGTTGTTAATCACATGGTAAGCGCCCAGATAGAAATCTTCCAAGGGAAAAGCAACCGCAGATAGCAAAGCAGTACCTGCAGGTAGAGAAAAAGGAGGAATAAATATAGCATAGACCAGTTGAACCACTAAATCACATCATAAATGTTTTTCCTCTGACAGCAGCATCATTATGTCACCGTATCATTAAAATATTTATGTTAATCATTGCAATTTGGGAGATAGGCTGATATTTCTAAGTGTGAAAATTTCCTGCAATATGTGTCTTATCTAATCCAGAGTTTTAGGGCATTTTTGTTTTTCCCCTCAAGCTTGAACTATGTTTTTTCTCAGAATGTGTAAGCAAATCATGTCCATTGTAATAAAGTTAAAATAATTTAGAAATGCATCATGTAAAAAACTAAGTTGTTTGTATTCTGCCCCCAGAGAATATCACTGTTAACGAGGCTTATTTGTTCTTAATCAACAAGAGTGATGTCAGATAGCTCAGAAATCTGTTAAATGAAAATTGTTAAGAACAATATTATCATAGTTTGAGGAGAAAGCAGCCTTTTTTTTTTTTTCCTTTCGTACTTCTTTTTCTCATTTTTAATGGCCTTCTTACTTCTTTTATTTTGCATGCAGCTGGATGGGACTTCTTTGGCCAGGCACAGAGATGAGAAGGGTGGGAGAAAAAAATGGGAGTGGTGATGCCCATGTTGGAAGGAGGAAGGACCGAGAGTGACAAAGGAGGGTCGAGCGTCCTCATTTCCACCCCACAGGGACCACACTTGATGGCTTTCCTTGTCTACTAAAAATTATGATACAATTCTATGCTTTTGCTAAGCTCTTTATATTTTGCAAAACATTTTAACGTACTAAATTGTTTCACCTCAGAAAAACTTTGTGATGTCAGAGGATAGATTTTTGTATTCTGATTTTTCAAAAATAAAGAAAGAAAGAGAAAAAAGAAGAAAAGAAATGGTTCAGTGAAGTTATGACTTTCCCAATGTTATAGAGTAAACCAGATATAATCTCTCTCTTCTTGGACCTCCTGCTGTCAAGTGGTCAAATCATTTTTTTTTTAAATAGCATTTTCCTCCCATCAGATTATAAAAGTAATATATTCTTACTTCAGAAAATTTGAAAAACATAGGAAAGCACCCGGAATAATACAAAAGGCCCATAATCTCATAGCCCAGAGATAATCTTTACCATATATTATACTTTTATGAATATCTTTTACTTAAATAGAGATTACAGTGTTGATTCCTTTTAACATAACCAAATAATATGAACAATTTTTAATATCTTTATATATTCTTTTTCAACATTATTTCTAGTGATGATGTGAGATTCTAACCATAATTTGTTTTAAAATCTCTTTTCAGTTATTGTGAATGAACACTGCAAAACTACCTTTACCATGACAATTTTTATGCACATTTTTGATTATTTTCTTAGCCTGAATCCTCAGTCAAAGGCATTCATATTTTTATGGCTTTTTAATACCATTGACAGATGTTCTTTAGCAATGTAACAATTTAATCTCCTAGCACCATTGCATGGGTGGCCTTCATCAACACTAGCTACCATCATTAATTTTTGCTTTGTCAATTTGATTAGTGAAGAAAGGCTCTCCCCCACGTCAATTTTGTTCTCCATTTTATTAATTTGGCACAAATATTTTGGTATGCATTTTTATATAGTTGTTTTTTGTGGTTAGTTTTTTCAATTAGACTATCATAAGTCAACTTGCAGATAAAAATTGGGTCTAATGTTTCCATCTCTCCTACAAAGACTTTCACAATGTGAAGCTTTTTGGCAACAGGTTGATTTACCATGAGGTGGGCCCTTTCAATTATTGAGTTTGAAATGTTTCCTTTCAAGGTTAGCCAGATGCAGAACTAATTGTTCTCTCTCCATCACTCAATCCTCTCCTCTGGAAGTGTGATGTTAAGGCCTGGCTAGATAAAGGGATATCCAAAGAGAATGAGCAGAGAAATTATTTCATTCAACAACCATTTCTTTAAGGACAAGACCCTTTTAGTTTACATAGTACCTTTGTGTAAATTTGAAAGGCGCTTTACTTCCATCTTTTAAGAAAATGTTATACTGATTTTGTTAGATCAAAACTTTATTTCTATCTACTGTAAAATTAATGTAATAAAAATGCAAATCTATGACATATGTGATAATGTGTGCTAGTGTGTATCTCATAATTAGCATACCTGTATTTGGTAGCTCTGCACAAAGCTCCATGATGTGTCATATCCCATACAGGGGGTGGGAGTCCTCCTCTCTCTAGGAACTAATGAGTTTGTCAGAGAAGTCAGACATGTAAGTGGACAATTATATTATGAAGTGGTAAATGCAATCATATAGGTACCATTGGGATGTGTTTGAACACAAAGAAGCTAGCAACAAACATTATATGGGTCTTGGAAGAATGGAGTTTTCCAGTGTTGGATATGGGTGAAAGATAAGGGGAGGTGACAATTTCAGGCAGAGAGATGAGCATATGTAAGATTAGAAAGCTAGAAAAGCAGAGAAGGAGAAGTTCAGCATAGTTAAGGTTGCATATTAAACAAGAAGTCTGGAGACATAAGGATGGAATAGATTGTAAAGGTTGTTGTATGCTAAATTAATAAATTTAGGTTTTATTTATATGTATATAAATATATAGAGAGATATAGATATATTTAGATAATATAGCCAATATATAGATTTATTTTTTCAGGAAGTTAGTGTTGCCAATAGAAGGGTGTATGGACTGGAGACTGATTGATAACTGGCAGCCCAGTACATGGGCCATTGTAGTGGTCAAGAAAAAGCTGCATGTTTGAGCTAAGCTGGTAGCAATTCAGACAGAAGAGATATTTCTGTTAGAACCTCTGATATTAAGTGACTGGTTGGGATTGATGGCAACTGTGAGTGGAGAATACAATCAAATAACTTTTACTAAGAAAATGAATGTATATAGAGTTGACATAGGTCTTTTGTTTGCCAAATTCCAAAGGCAGGATTTCCATCCTGGTCTGATGACTGACTGACCTCAGAATTTAGACTGATGGGAATTACCATGTTAAACAAGAAGCTACCAAATGCTACTGGTGTGGGCCTATTACCAAGCAGAGCAGATTATTCAGGTGTTTGCTAAAATGTCTCCTTATCAGAAAGCATTCTCTGATTCCAGGTAGCAACCCTGCCACTGTCCATTCCAGCCTGTCTCCGTACCCAGCTCTATTTTTCATCCTAACACTTATTACCACCTGGCACCATACCTATCTACTTGTTTCTTTTTTTCTCTCCCTGCACCAAAAAGTCACCTTCAGCAGGAACAGACTACTTTCTTCTCTGTTGCCCTCTCAGACCCTGGAACAATGCCTGGCACAGACTAGTTGATAAGAAAATATTTGTTGAGTGTTGAGTGAGTTTTTTCCATGCAGAAGCTTAGTTTTTATTTCACAGGACTTCAGCAATGAAATGTACAGGTATGAATCACACTCTAATCGATTCCCTGGATGGTAATTTACCACCTGCCTGAAGTTGTGTGGTGTGTTGAGTAACTGATACGTATCCATCCCTTCCTCATTCAGCCCCCACCAACATGCATTCCAGCTGCACTTCTCACTACTGGTGAACAGCACACTACCTTCCCAAGTTCCTCAGCTCGGAACCTTGGACTTAATTTCTGTTCCTCCATTGTATTTGTGCCTTTATTTAATTGCCGAGTTTTTATAGTTTTTCACGTTCTGTCCTGAATTGGCATTTTTCTACTGCTTAGACCATGATCCTGAGATTTTCTAGTTTCTCTCTATTAACCCCTCACTGTGCTTGTTCATCCTGTTTATTGAAGAAAGGCATTTCTCACATCTTGTTTTCATTGTATCTTCAGAGACTTTTTGTTGTCTGAGAAGAATAACTTGAACTTTTCAGCCTAAAATTCTATTTTTTTTTTTTTCTGAGACAGAGTCTCACTTTGTTGCCCAGGCTAGAGTGAGTGCCGTGGTGTCGGCCTAGCTCACAGCAACCTCAAACTCCTGGGCGCAAGCAATCCTGCTGCCTCAGCCTCCCAAGTAGCTGGGACTACAGGCATGCGCCACCATGCCTGGCTAATTTTTTCTATATATATTAATTGGCCAATTAATTTCTTTGTATTTATAGTAGAGACAGGGTCTTGTTCTTGCTCAGGTTGGTTTCGAACTCCTGAGCTCAAACGATCCGCCCGCCTTGGCTTCCTAGAGAGCTAGGATTACAGGTGTGAGCCACCTTGCCCGGCCTAAAATTCTAGACTATTCATCAACTTGCTGTCTATACCTTATTAAACTCTTTTGATATTTCTCCAGCATTTCTTACAAGCACTTCACTTCCAAACTTTTGTAGATGTTTATTATATTTTTCTATGTTAAAGAAGCGCAGAGTGTCTGAATTCACTTATTTTTAAAAGCATATAACTATAGTTAATAATGTAGAAGTCATGCCTTCATAAGCAATCTTAATTAACATGACTAATTAAAAGACCACCATTTGATAAAAACATTTCTCAATTATTCTACATGAACTTTGAAAACCTTTTTAGCACATTTCATTTTAGTTGTGAAGCAAATAAATTTACATTTCACAGGGAATTTGTCACGATTTGGGCTTGGGGTAAAAAGGGGGAAATAGGAGTATTCTAGGGAGTACAGAAGATAGACATGTACAGAAATAATTATTGCAAAATATACTAAGTGTGATAATATAGGTATCAAAGCATTTTCTAACACACACACACACAGGCATTCTTCAAATAATACAGAGAATGAAATAAATTGAAACAACATTCTTACTTCATTTATCACAGTTTATACTAAGAGCAGGGTGGGAGTAATATAAACTAAAAATTCTAACAAAAACCTTTTCAATTAAGTTGCAAAACAATCCAGCCAGCAGAGGACACTCACCTAGAAAATGTAGAAATAAGCAAGTGTACACCAGTTTGTTTCTTCCCACATAGACATCAGTGAGCCATCCGGCAATCACGGGGGTAAGTATTGAAGTTCCAATAAAGCACAAGTTCAAAATGGCTGCCTGGTGATTGCGGTAGCCAAGCTTAACAGTGCAAAAGGGGATCATGTTGCAGACAACTTCAAAGAAAGTGAACCTCTCACACAGCTCCACCAGAAACAGGCAGATCCCAACCTGAATTTTTTTCACAGGGTATGAGGAAGAGAAAGAACCAAGGTGACTTACAGTTTTCTCCTTCTCAATGCTGTGATTTAAAGGTACTACCTCATCAGTTATTGTAAAGTCTGTGACAGACATGTCTTCCTTCCTTGGGTGCAACTTATGTTAGTAGTTTGAACTGGGTGATTTTTTTTTAACCCCCACCCTTCTAATGAAAAAAATAAGTAAGATCAGAGCTTTGAATTTCACATCTCCATGTCAAAATTTCATAAGGTTTTTTTTACACATTAATGTTGTTCATTTTGATGACCCAGGAGCACAGGAGAGGAGACATGAGTATTTAAACGTTCATAGTAGCTCCGTGTAGCCCAAACTGATTTGTTTGTTTAATTACTTAGAGGCTAAATTAGGCTCTTCCTCCAAAATTATATTGAATTACACGAACCCAGTTGCATACGTGTGGAAACTCATCTGCCTCATACTGATAAAGGTTTAAATACTGAGGCAGAAGAAGCAGTTTTTCAGGAGAATTTGAGCACTAGATCAAGAAATAATTTGAGTCTATTAATTTCTGATACTTTAATTAAACAAGCCAGAACAGTACCAAGAGATAAAGCGCTAAAGGAAATCTGTTTTGAGGGGGCAGGAAACCTTATCATTATTACATTTCTTGTTATTTTTGGTTGGAATTCTGATAAGAAAGTTAATTAGGTAACAAAAGTGCTAGTACATTTAGGTAACAAGCAGAGTTTACAAGAAAGTAATTTAAGTGCACTAATGAAAGGAGAAAATATTAAACAAAACCCTGCTTCCTTTAAGTTGACCCCATGCTTGTAGAACAGCCTCTCAGGAAATAAGAATCAAAAGGCGCTATTTGACTCCCTTATGCTAATCAGCAGTCAGGGATACAGCAACCAGCCTACACATGCTTTCGGGAGTATTGGATCTGGTATCACCCTAGCCCTCCAGCTGGGTGAATGGATGTTAGCATTGTATTCTGGAAAGCAGGAGGGCACCAATTAAGCTAAAACAGCAGCAGTGAGAGACAATACCTTCACATTTAGTGGTTTAGCTTCAAGGACATGGAAGACAAGGGACTGGAACTATTGGGTCAAAGTCATAATAATTCAACACATGAGTATAGGAATGCTATTTTCATACTGGAGTCTAAACCAAAAGACTGACAAGGGCTATAACTCTGATTCTCATCTTTTGTCCTGAGAGATTGGGAACAAAACACTGTTTTGACCCCTTGTAATAGTCTCATTGTAATGGGAGCCATTTGTATCTGCTCAGCATCACTTATTCCATCTTTGGTAACAATGCCCTATTTTTCCTTTATGTAGAGTGATCATGCAACTTTTTATCCAGACTTGGACAATTTAGTAAGTGAAAAGCGATGCTATTTATAGTTATTCCTAAAAATGGGTATATAATGGGACTGTCCCTGGCCAACTCCCACCTGTGGTCACCTTCCCTTTGGGGAACGAAGTACCTGAGATCATAGGGTAGGGGGTGTTAATCAGGATATCTCCTTTATTCTGTCCAAAGGTTGTCAACACACAGCCTAAGACAGTCCTTTTGCCTTTATCCTCTAGCATTTTAATCTTGAGTGGAATAACTCAAGAATGGACATGATGGAAGCTGAGTCGGTCAGATGGCAGTACCCTAAAGGGATTGCCCATGAGGCCCTGATAGAGAGAACTCAGTGCCTACGCTGTTCTTACCCTGCAGGAGAGATTAGTTGTTCCTTCTGTAAAAGGCTCAAAACATTCCAATGGGTTTTGAGTTTTGTTAAGTTAGGTATATTTTGCTTCTGTGGCTTCCAAAGAACCCTTAGTGATATTTTACTTTTTTTTAAGGGAAAGTTGTTCCCTAGCCACTGGCTGACACATTTAGTCCCTGACAAAGTACTCCTGCAATGTCATTCCCTGAGCCACTTCCCAGGGCCTGATGTTGACCAGGTCTGAAGTTTTGGGCTCCTTTGTGTATCCCTGAACAGGCCACAGGTCGTAGGAGTCTGTGGGCTGGTGGGTAGTCGAGTCAAGAAGAGCAACAGCATTTGCCTTCTTTGAAGGGGATATTTGGTAACTCTCCACGAGAGCCACTTACTCAGAAATAAATTTTATTTTAGTTATCTGTAAGGGGAAAATATCTGACTTTAATTTTATAACAAGGTTCAAAATAGTTGTCAAAAAGGATGTTTATTGACTTGGGAGTTAGAGAACTGAGTTATATTCCTGCCCCTTTATCACTGAAGGTGAATTTCTTTTTGTCTATGAGCCCATTACATCAACTGCAAAATACAAACAGTAAAGCCTGTCTCAGAAGATTATTTCTGAGGTTCGGTTTAGAAAATGACTGATGACATGTCAAGGATTGTGTGTGGAAACAGGTTTGTTATTCCTTGCTGCTGTATGCCTGTGTTTTCTAGCTACTTGGAGCAATGAGCCATAGAGAAACATTATGGAACCATTGCCAAATTCCAGTTTACACAAAAAACAGAAGTTAGAAGGGTGAGATTCTGCTGAATAATGTTGAAGTAATGGGAAAACACCTCCTTTTTAATTGTCACTTCCCTATGAGTTCTCAATACTGTGTTCAGAGTGATCTCAAAGGACAAGTATCAATTCCACTTGAGAATAATACTTGGCAGGGAACATTGAATGTCATCATTTTTATCAACAATCTAGAGCCTTCGAGTGGGAATTTGTGCATACTTTAGTTTTACGTAACCCTTTCCCCAATCCCGGTCCAGGCTTGTCCTTTGTTTCCTGCACCTCACTCTATGTAATGAAGTGATATTTTTCCTCCACTATAGAAGCAAGGTACACAATATATGTACATTGGGTAGAATTTGGAAAATGCTTAAATATGAAAGAAAAACCAATGAAAGTTTTTGAAGCCTTCCTTTTGATGTTTTCTCTCCATGGCTATTTTTCATTAGTATATTTAAAATATTTAAATTGTATAATCATGTACAGTTATTGTATAATATATTTTCTACCCCATTTGTAAGCACTGTTATAAACATTTTAACATACCATTATGAACTCTTTGTAGACATAAATTTTATGATTGCATTAACACTTAACTATTCTTCCATTGTTGGTTAATTTTGTTCATCGCAGATCAGTTCTAAACCAGTTTTGCTCGAATTTTTGATCATGAACCAACAACTAAAAGAAAACACCACCTTTATAAATTATACCAGAACGAATATTCATGCATAAAGCTTCCTTTATTCCCAGATTATATCCTTAGGCTGTTTTCTTTTTTTTTTAGAAGCACTATTACTGGTTAAAAATGTGAGAAAGTTTTTAGGCTTCTTGATATATAACATCAAACTACAATATAAACTTCAGGGAATATTTTTTAATTGGAAACTATTGTTTTTGAAATGCTGATCAGGTCTGAAGACTATACTTATCATTAGAATTCTTCATTGGAAAGACAAATGTGATAAGTCAAACATATGGAGTAATAATGTTGACCATACTTGTATGTATTGGAAAATGGATTTTATTTAATGGATAAGATTAGTCAGAGGCTCATTGGATGAACTAATGACCATGCATGCTTTTTCTTGACCATTCAGAGCCTGCATGCTTCAGATCCTGGAAGGGTTGTTTGGGGAGCATACTGGAAATGCAAACCCTGCTTTTAGGGATTAAAGGCAGGATTAAAAAGCATCCCTATGAGATATCTCCAGGATGTTTATGAGTTTTGAGAAAACTGTAGTACCTTCTAAAGCGCTTTTATAGCGTGTTACTGCAACACTCTTCCTTTTTTCTATGTATTTTTGGAATAACTTTTTATAGGTTCTCTAAACACTGAGTAAGTATTTTTAAAGGAAGAGCTTTTCTAGCTCAATAATTCTCTGTAAATGGTGTACACAAAGGTCAGTTGAAGATATTTATTCTTTTAGGCCTATCGATTCCATTTAATTCCATTGACTGTGAGGTTTGACAGTGGGTTTGAAAGCATTGTCAAGAACATGAGGATTGGGCTCACTACAATTTAATTATTAAAAATGTTACATCAAAGACTTGGAGTGAAATTTTTTGCTAGGTTGTTCAAGGTCTAAAGTGAAATGGAAAGATAACATATTGGGCTTTACTTTTTGTTTTGTGAAAAAGACATTCTCTGTATAAACTTCTTTCCTATTATAAAGAGGCTGTGGCAATTGTATGACATCTACACTTTGATCCTTCTGTCCGGTGTGAAAGAGAATTACTTCAGCCCCTAGCAGATTGTAATTCACACAGTCCCAAGAACATAAAAAATATTCTTCTCCAATATAGTGTGTTTTCGTATCTTTCTGGGGACAACTAAGAATGAAGGTATTGTATCCCTATAGGTGTTTTTTTTTTTTTTCATTTCATGCAATGACAATTATGAATCTTGCTATTATGTTGAATTCTCCATAGAGGGTATATCTGTATAAAGTAAATAAGGCGGGAATGAGTTATCACATGGAAACTATGATGGTTAATTTTATGTGTCAACTTGCCTGGGCAACAGTGCCTAGATATTTGTTCAAATATTATTCTGGATGTTTTTGTGTGGGTGTTTTTGGATAAAATTTGCGTTTAACTCAGTGGACATTTAGGAAGGCAGATTGCCCCCTCCAATCAATTGAAGGCCTGAATAGAACAAAAAGCTGACTGCCTCCGAGCATGAGGGAATCCTCCAACAGGCTGTGGACTTCATCTGCAATGTAGGCTCGTCCTGGTTTTCCTGCAGACTGCCTTTGGATTCGAACCACCACTCTTCCCTAAGTCTCCAGCCTGCCAGCCTCCCTCATCATATTTTGGACTTGCCAAGCCTCCACAACCATGTGAACTAATTCCCTAAAGTCCCTTCCTGTATGTATGCACACACACACACACACACACACACACACACACACACTCTACTACTCCACTGGTTGTTTCATTGGAGAACACTGACTAATACAAACACCGCCCATATTGTCCCCATTTTTTCATTCTTTTTTTCTTTTCCATCTGATTATGAAGGAAAAAGAAAGTCCAGCTTCTATACAGAACTGATGGCTTCCAAATAGATGTGCTGAACTGAGACATCCCTCCTGCGTTCTCAGTGAATTGGTGGACACGCCCATTGAGCCTCTCAGT